CCTAATCAACACCTCCACTGGGCACTTGTGCAATTGCGAGGCACAGATTAATGCCTTCAGAATGAGTACAGAGTACAAAGAACTTTTATCATCTATAACGAAGCATGCTGACCTTCAAATGGAGTGCATCAAAGATGTGGTGGCGATGTACTTTCATTATGTGATGCTATCACATAGGTGGGAAGGGAATGAGCCATTGCTGCATAGCATTCAGGGCAAGGTGGTATACAACTTGGATCCAATCGGTGGCATGGCAAAGTTGCAGTCATTCTGTACAACTTCTCATGATATGGGGTATCACTGGACATGGATCGATACCTGCTGCATCGACCAGACTAACAACATCAAGGTCCAACAATCAGTCAACTCCATGTTTATATGGTATTGCCACTCAGCACTTACCATCATCTACCTGTCGGATGTTCCACCTTCGTCACAGCCTGGCGCACTCGCAAATAGCGCTTGGAACACGTGAGGATGGACAGTCCAAGAATTCCTGGCCCCAAAGTTTGTCTTATTTTATCAGAAGAATTGGTCCCTATATCTCGACGATCGCTCTCCCAACCACAAGGATTCCTTGGTAATCATGCAGGAGATGCAAGATGCGACAGGCATAGATGTTCAGCCTCTTGTCGCCTTCTGTCCAGGGATGCAAGACACCAGGGAGAAACTTCATTGGATGTTATTGCATGTCACCACATGGCAGGAAGACATTGCATACTCATTGTTTGGTATCTTCAGTGTCAGATTGCCTGTTATTTATGGTGAGAGGAAGCAAAGTGCACTTGGGAGGCTCTTACAGGAGGTTGTAGCTCAATCAGGTGACATCAGTGCCCTGGAATGGGCAGGGCAATCATCTGAATTCAATAGCTGTCTACCAGCTAATATTATGTCATACAAAGCTCCGCCTTACACCCTGCCATCACTGTCCAAAGATGAGATTCAGACTTCGGTCTCCTCATTGTGAAATGCCGAGGCTATGGAATCAGTTACAAAGCTCTATACCCTTCTTGACCACATAGGCACTCCTCATTTTGCAAACTGCAGACTGCATCTACCTTGCATCACATTTCCTGTCACAGAACTCATATGGAGACCCACTGTACACATGGAGACCTGTGTAGGGACTCATATTTCTATGGGCGTGTAATGGGCATATTCACACAAGCAGTCCGTTTATCATTCGCATAATGACTTGCACTTCCATTGGTATATCATGCAACACGTTCCTGTATAATGCGCCATAGGCGTGATGTATTCCCACGCTCGCACTTAGTGCGCGTTCTCGCGCATTTTCACGTTTCATTGTGCACTTTCGCATTTCATCGTGCACTTTTGCGTTTCATCGCACACCTTTGCGTTTCATTGCATTTCATCGCCTATTATCCAGGAGCGCCTATCCATGTCCGACCACCTCATTGGTACGTCATATTCCTTGCCTCATGGTTGTAACAAGCATTGCAGCATTATTACATGTTATTACGTACTATCAGCACGTTTTCTTCCTATCCCCTCTGCATCCAACACGATTTTGTCTAGTATATAGTTTGATGATCGCACTACTACTCTCCCCCATTACTCCCCTTTACTGTACTTCCCTCACTATTGGGTTTTACTCTGAAGTAGTAGTCACCATTAGGGCGCACTTTGTGTTACCTATGGTTATCGTTATCAGACTAGACTAGTTTAATCAGACCTTGCTTTTCACTTGCTTTGCATTGCGCTCGCTTTGTGTATCCGTTGATCCATTATCTATCTGCCCCTCTATATCACTCCTTATTCTCCGCATTCCATCCGCACTTTCCCATGACAACGTGCGCTATAAGCGCGCGCCTTCCCACGCTTCGCTTACCTTAGCGCGACTTTCCCGCACTTCGCATTCTCATCGTGTTCTTTGCATTCTTCACATTTCTTCACATTCTCATCACGTTACTTTGCATTCTCATTGCGTTCCTTCACGTTTCTTTGCATTCCTTCACATTTGTCTCGTGTTTCTTCTCGCACCTTTGCGCACCCTTCAGACTACAAGGGTCTCTCATTTATCTGGTTCTGTGTGCAGTAGCAGTCCCCTTTAGGGTTGAATGTGTCTGTCTCAGGCATAGCAGCCTAGGTGCAGCAAGACCCAACATTCTGCCTCACCAGCAGCATTGTTGATCTCACATCGAGAGAGTGATTGCGCGAGCAGCAGTCACTTAGTGCCTTCACCTGCTTCACATATGAAGTAAAGGCAGACGGGCTTCACGATCTGAAGATCATCACGAAGTGCAAGTTACCTCCTTGGTGATCCTTCTTGCTCGTCCGTCCCTGGGATCATTGCCTCTTCGAGCTGCCTGACTATGCAGACGATACAGAGAACGCGGATGACGATGACTTTCTCCTGCTTGAGTTGCCCAGAAAACAGGGCCCAATCGATTCAGAATTGAGCGATCATGCAGTGCAATTGGTTGTTTGCCTTGGACAGCCATTCAACGCATTCCTACTAGCACAGCAACGCGCCAGAGAATACAAGAGAATCACATCAGATTGTGATATCATTGCAGAAGTCCAAGACGTGGGTTCCATTGACAGTATAATGGATGTCAGGACACTAGAGATATTGTAGCTGTATGCTTTGGCCGAAATAGATCACTCAGCAGCTTTTATTCTCGATATTTCCTCCTTTACATATGCACCTAATCATTTGTTTACAGTGTCCCCGAGCCATCACCAACTCCCACATCCTGAGCAGGAGGGCTTTGTTGAACTCAAAGTTAATTTCCCACCACTACTAAGCTGTGCTTGTGTCCATATACTTTGGGGCCCGTCATGCAGATTTCGCAAATTCAAATCACATTCTGCATTGTTACATAGTATGCTGAGGTCCGACAGCCTAGAGTACGTACCAAGGTGCAATTCCCATCATTTCCTGGTGATAAATACTGTCATCCATTGTCTTGTTACTTGAGGGTCTTATAGGTTGCTCAGAATACAATGACTATCACAATTGTACTCAATAAGACTACAGGTGCCAGCTGCCTCAAGTTCACAGTCAATGGATTTTCTACTTCTCGGTTGATAATGTGCTGTTCATGGGTGGTCAAAGAGTGATGAATCACCTTCTTTGTTGGTCTCTTCTGATAGTAAGGAAGTATATATATTTTATCAGGTTACTCTGAACCTAGTAGGTAATATTAGACCTCTGCTGATGCTGGCTAGATAATACGAGTCTCTCTTCCTGTAAAAGAGAGAAGTTAAACTAAAACAAATAGACGAATACAATAGACTGTTGTATAGGCGATCCCTGTAAGATAGTATACAACTAATCTGACTAGATTATACCATGGTTTTCTAAGGCAACACTAGGCCTTCACTTTCTTCTGGATCTCACACTAGGAGACAGAAAGGGGAAAACACCTGTTCAAATTCTTACTAACTCTCACACGGTTTTGAGAGAAGAATGGAAAAGGGAAAACTTAATTATTGTGTGAGAATGGAGTCCTTATATACATTTTGGAAACCATCCTTACTAAGCAATGAGTCATCACTGGATTGGTAAGAATGTGCTTACAAACCAAGCCTTTTGGTGTGCTGAATCAGCTGCTTACTAAAGTACATGAGTAAAATATTACAAAGCATAGTAAAATCTTACAAAGCATGACGAATCATGACCAAACATGATTCGTCATGGAAAAGTCCTTACAAATCAGATTATTACCAGTCACATGACATGCTTACAAACATATCTGAGTGGTTCACTGATGTAATCAAGTGGCTGAAAAATAGAAAGAGACTGGAAACTGATAGAAAACTACAAATACAAGTAAATAAATGAATCAGAATAGGAAACTAAGCTTATGATAGTGAGAAATATATCCTAGTATACTTCCCTAATCATCTCCTTCTATATTTCTTATCATATATGTCATGGTATGGAGTGCATACCATGCATGACACCGTGCCTGACTCAACGAGTGGGTGAGGATATGTGACATTTGGAAATGCAACGATCAGTTGGGGGGAACTGCAGCGAACCACACCTATAATTGAAGGAGCAGTCAAATTGCCGTGAGCTTTCCATAGGATGAAGCCTTCAAAAGTTCATGCAATGTGATGCACAGGTGACAGTATACAAGCACCTTTAACAAGACAGGCACATCCAGAGTAGTGTCTCTTGCCTTGAGTGATTGCGACATGTTGTGGCCTTGCAGAGAATTGGCATGGTGCTCTAGATTTGTTTACCTGTTGCGAAAGCGCCTTTCCATTGGAAAGCCTTAAAAAGTCTTGTAATTCCGGTAGCAATATTACGTTGGATTACCCTACAATCACGAGGGCTCGACAAATGAGAACATACATCAAGGTTGACAAAAGTGCATCGCTATCCATTTGTTCCTGTGATTGGGCTCCCCTACAGTCTCGTGACAAACTTCAATTGTACTCCACTATTTCGATATCCTTCATGTCTATGTCCTCGTGAAAAAAATAGATTTGTATATCCATAGTATTACAGTGTGGTAGCAAGATTGTACTTGATTACAATAGCCATGGCTACAATACCAAGGACTCACCAGTTCACTGATGACTTGGGTCACCTCATTTTCCTGACTGTCAGACTTACTTAGATCTGCCTTTATCTTGCGTGCATTCATCTGACCTTTTGTCTGGTGGTGAATCCCGACACCTTGGACAGTCCATCGAAAATCTAGGTAAACTACCTCAGGAATGTATATTCTATGTTTCCCTCGCGAGGCATGAACTTGAAGGTGAATTTCTTTTCATGGACGACAGACTAGTATCAAATGAAACGGAATTCGTTGTAATGACCGCTAGTTAAGATAGACTTCCGGATCTATGCACTGCAAAAATGTTATCAGCAGGTTTCGAGCCAACTCCAAGAGAAACAGATTTTGACTCTGTTGTGGTAACCACTTGGCTAAGACCAATTATATTTCATGCATCCATAGATTTACAAGTTTCTTCCAAGTCTTTCTGGTTGTGTAGAACGTGTTCTGATATAAAAAACCTGTCCTTCAACAGGTTTTGAACCTGCGCAGCCAAAGAGGAACAGATTTTGATTCCGTTGTGGTAACCACTTGGCAAAGACGAACACACGATCGTGATGAGTAAATATCAAGGTGTGATCCGATAGAAGAAAACCGTGTCACTGGCAGGTTTCAAACCTATGCAACCCAAGACAAACCAATTTTGGCCCACCTTCCTTGCAAGTTGACTTCACCCGCCGACCATGAGTAGTTTTAAGGTGTCACGCTTACCACTTGGCTTAACAAGATGGACATATACGAGTCATGTAGCTAGAATCACGTTGGATTAGAGTCATTTACCGGCGCAAAATGAAATAAAGAGACTAGTTTGTGTTTCATTCAATGGACACAAAACATGCCAGGAACAAGTGAGTCGGGGGTTAACCGGTTGGCGCTCGCGCCGTAACGGTATGGGTACTCAGGTAAGCAACCGACTCGGACGTGCGGAAACAAAAGATAAGATCTAAGAAGTCGACAGGCATATAATGACCTTTGCCCTGACTGAAAATCTGAGACTTACTGTACATAATCATTGCGTCAATAGGAGCTTAGGGTTATCCTATCCCAACATCTACTACACCTTATCGAACCAAACCTCAGCTCGGTCTTTCACAGTCGTGTGCGTTCGCTCCCTCTCCGTGAGTTGACCCACCAACCCGACCAAGCCAAACCCAACTACCTTTCCATCTTCCACAACAAACTCTGCCGTAGCCTCAGACGTCCCTATCTCCGCTGTCTCAAAGGGTGTAGTGTCGCGCCCGTATCCTTCCGGGTACAACGAGGTATATTGAACATTGAACGTGTTTCCGGACTGATGCACGCCCCGAATATGAGATGCCCATATACGAGGCCATGCTGCGAGCAGCTGAACCGATTGGGGAGCACCTAGACTTTCCTGCATCCACTGCAGCAAAGTCGGAGATTACATTTTGACAATATGGGGAGTTAACGGAAGGACTGCAAAAGGTGATAGGGCCAGTATCCAGCGTTAACGTATGTACCTGAGAACTTTTCGATCGCAAGTTCCAAACCAGTGACGTTTTCGTGTGTAGGCGTGACTGGTTTCTTCTCAGACGCATTGGGTTCACTGAAGCGGTGATAGGTGAGCAAAGGGAAAGGGACCTGAAAATGAGAATAACGAACATCGGTGGTGATGGTTTTGACCGCAGGTTCAGGGCTGCGTCGACTATACGGTTGAAGATATTCATCACAGGTTTTGCTTTATCGCCGCCGTTGGCAAAAACGACGACTCCAACATCGTCATTTGGAAGGAACGAGGCCAGCGTAGAGAACCCTGGAACTGACCCTGTGTGATATACAATCTAATAATACTCTGATATCAGTCATGATGCACGATAACGAATGAACATTTGTCACATCATGGCCCAGGTACGAGTTTCGGAACCATCCCATCCCATACCCCTGAATGGAGAGTTCAGGATCAGTCGAGGCACTGATAGATACGGAGTATGATTGCGATGCGTTTCCATGGACGGATAGCGGTATGATTGTGACGTTATTGTGCACGCCCTTGTTAAGCCACAATGCAACCCATTTCGACTGGATAGCAATAATCATCGTCAGTTGTTAAGTAGAACGAAGGCGAATGCACCTACCATGTCCACGGCACTCGAAATCACACCACCTGCACCGGCCATGAGCGGTACTACTTCTTCTGTAAAACACTCGGGCAAGAGTCTGCCATTGCTAGTCCATCCCTGGGTGAATTTGCCTGTTTTCCCAGCCTTTGCGGGTGAGAACGTAGAAGAGGTCATTCCAAGTGGCGTAAAGATTCGATCCTCTACAAAAGAGGTGTATGTCTGTGCGGAGTAAGTTTCAATGATGTGTGCGGCTGCCGTGAACATCTGTTCGTGGATTATGAAGATGCATTTAGTGATTTTTCCAAGACTGCGTTACCTTGTTGTTGTAGGACCACTGTTCCCGGAGTTCAAAAGCTGGCCTGAGGTAACGGATCCGCAATACATCATCTTTCGGGCTGTCGTCTGGTCCATACGAGTAGTCATGGCTAACTCACGTTCAATAGAATCTTGTGCTGGAGTGAGGATTGAGTGAAACGTACCGAGGAAGGCCAGACACATGAGAGAGGATGTCCTTCATATTTGCCTTCTTGGACGCCCATTCATCCATCAATTGCCATTCTCCCGGAAGGATATCTTGCACCAAGGTGTGCCAATTAAATTCCGACAAAGCGGGAGGAAGCGGTGTGACGTTTCTTCCATGTTCATAGTCATCCATCAAAATTCCAATAGCGCTCGCGCAGAAAGCCTTGGACACAGACGCCATGTGGAATAATGTCTAGAAATTGCAACTTCAGAGGTCATACAAGAAGAAACTTGAGCAGTTCGCACGTCTTTTGTGGTCTCGTCACCGTCCTCTGTCATGTTTCCCCATGAATGAAATTCGGTTCGCCAGTACCTAGGGACAACTGCGACAGACAGTCCGTGATGTTCCAAACATCGAGGGTCTCTTGGATAGAGCTGGAGAGTTCTGGGGTGATAACCTGGCCATTATTTACCCAGACAGGATCAGCTAAGAACGATAACTGAGAAAGATGAGCGAATGGCTGGCTCAAAAAGCCTAATGCTACGCCCAGTAGTTTAGCCATGATGCTAAGACGGGGGTAAAAGAATGCTCATTCGATGACCAGGCCTGCAAGGTCTTGTGCTCGAACGAGACTAGAATAACACCGCTCATTGTGGGAGCGACTCGGACATGCGGAACAAAGATAAGATCTGAGAAGTCTACCAACTTATAATTATCTTCTTCCCGTGCGGACCGTCTCGACTCGAAGCCGTTGATTAACGACGTGCGGTATCTGAGCGTGATTCATGAAGATGCTTTGCGCATTTTTGGACATTCCACGTATGTTCGTTAAACATCGCTTGTTCCCAGACTTGATTCGGAAAAGCTGCAAGCTGCATTTATGTACGTAGGGATTTTCAGGTCGTGTAGCCAAGACAAGAAGCTTGTCAGCTGAATCATTTTGAGACCTTCTCGAAGTACATACACAGGCACTGAATGATGAATCTACTATCGGGCCGTCTGAATCATCTTTAGCTCGAGTCGAGCAGATGACGAGCAGTTCCTATATCAATATGGGGTATTGGAAATTGTCGAATGATTCCTGAATGAGGTCCCCTCGTGATAGGGGCCTTGCTGCTGTGCATTCCAGAGCACCGATGGGCCTTAGCTTGAGCATGATGGAGGTTGTATGGAATATTTCGGACTTTAAAACCCATGGGAAATTGAATGTATTTCTAATGTACCGAAATTCAACCGATATTCAACCTGATTTAATATAGTTTGAATAAACTCATATTATATGTTGAAACATTGCTTGGCCGCGGATTACTGAGTACTAGCAGCAGCGCAATGATCTTATACAAAGTTCCGGCTCCAACGGTCGATGCCCAGCGTTTGAATTATAATTATGCTATAGGCCGCTGAGGCTTATCATGCACGTGAATAGACATTTTCAAAAAGGCCGATGGCGGCCTGCATCAGTGACAGGTCTTGGCATAGCATTTCTGATTGTAGCAGTGGTCTAGAAGGACTATTAAAAGCCATCTTCAACGTAGTCCTGCGGCTCCAAGCAGGATCAGGGTAATGACCTACGAGTGGTTGAATTATATGTTTTTGTGAGCGGAAAAGATCAATTGATGGCTTCGAATTCGAAGAACATCACGGTTACTAGTAAAAGAATAATCGCCGCGTAATTACGCCCAATGATGACATGTGTGGATCAATAGGTACATGCCTCACATCTTCGACACGGCATTTACCCTAGTGCTAACTTGCTTCGGCTCTGAACTTGTATATTGAGAGGCGCTCAGTTGAGTTGCTTGCCCCACTCCTTACATCTTTTCACGTTTTCACGATTGCCTTGCGACTGCCTTGTGTCCTTGCTATTGTTGTACCTTTTGTCCTTCGAATCATTTTGACCTCTCACTATAAATTGAGATTACTCTCGTCATGTTTCTCAATTATCTCCACAAGTATGAGACCTTTTCTGTCCTGTCCCTACTTCCTTACTCACAAATTTTTACAGGATGATGGCTGTACCTCGAGCAGCTTCAAGTTGCGAGCCTGCTGATCCATCCAATACTGTTACAACCCGTCTAAACACACTTCTCAACTCTTCTGGTTCAGGATATGTCTTGAGCCTCTGTCCAAGCTCCCAATATTTCATAGACGCCCCCATTCTTTTCACCTCTCCTAATCAAGAGATCAGCACTTTCGGTTATCCCACTGACAACACCAGAGCTATCTTAGTAGTCAACGGTGCTGTTTCAAATGGTACTGGCCAGACAACAGCCGTCGATGGCACTTGCGCCAATTGTGACGGTGTGAAATTACGAAATGTGCAGGTAACGTCATGGACCCTTGATTATTTTCCCTCGTGCTAATTGTTATCTCACAGATCAATGGCACGCGGGCTGGCGCGCCTCCTATCAATGGAGGCGCAAATATTGAAATGGGCGGTTCAAACTCGGGTCAGCTTATCGAATACGTGCATTCTTGGGATCCCAGGAGCTGGTCATGTCTCCATATTTCTGAGGGAGCTTTAAATTGCACCAATGTTACCGTCCAGAACAATGATGTTGGACCTGCAGGATCCGATCTTTTCCAACAGTGGGCGGATGGAATAAGTGTGGCGTGCACAAACAGCATTGTTCGTAACAATATGATCAATAATCCGACCGACGGAGGCATCGTATTGTTCGGCTCTCCCGGGACTCTGGTTGAAAACAACACGATCTGGGTCGAGAATGTAAGTGTGCATTTTCCATGCCTTTTTGTTGGTTCCTCACGGTGATGCAGAATACATTACTCGGAGGAATAAACATGGTTGATGTAATGCCCTTTAGTGGTGATTATAAGGGGGTTGTAGTCACTAACAACACTATCATGGGTGGGTTCGCCACTAACCCTGACACTGGGTCGGCCATCAAGGGTACAAATAACCAAGATGTCATTATCAAGTACGGGCAACCATTTTTTTTCCCTTTTCATGAAGGTGCTGACGGGAATGATTCAGAAT